AGATGATGGATGGATGGATGGAAGTCTGTGAGACACGATACAGAGGCTGGTGCAGCAAGTCAGCCCAACAGCAGCATCTCTGAATGTGGTGTGCATAAACAAACAGACTAACCTGAGAGCCCTCTGGACTACTTCTGCCCGCAGGGCCAGGAGGAAGACCCTTTACTACTGTTGTCGTGCTGTTAGCCATGTTGTTGGCCACTGGAAAAGTGGAGGGACTCTGGAGTTTCACAGGAGGCAAAATTGTCGTGGTGGTCTGTCAGCGCCTGCAGTGGTCCTGAGTGGCAGTCCAAGTTGGGCGCAGATGTGATGAATTATCTTTCTACAGGGACCACAACCGTCAATCTGGGTAAAATGTGAGACACTTAGTTATTACACACATTAAGCAAGTAATAAGACGTTAGCATCACATGGGCAATAGGCTGATCAAGGTGTCTATACAGGATAGCCGAATTGTAGTGAATAAAGCATTTCATCAGTGTTTTATTTCCCTTTTCTTCATGCCTTATGAATTTCTTTATGTTGTCTCTCATTGTATTTAACAGTGGGAACTGTTCTTCTATTAGATTTTCTAAATTAATAACAATAGCGTCGTGATTTGATTTATGTGTAGTCTTGATGTGTGATCGTTCCCATGCAAGCCATTTGTAACGTTGTCCTTTTTTCATAATTAACGATTGCTTTAGCTACTTGTAGGATGCCACCAGTGTGCTAAGACCTAAGGCACATACAGGAACTTAGCCATCAAATACCGCTAGAGATCTGCTCATAATATTAACCAAGTTAGCGAAATAACATCACACTAATAGAACAATGAGACCAGACAGGTAGCCACCGGGCGGCTGTGCGGCTTCATCAAATAAAGCAAATTAGCAGACAACCGATGCCAACAAAAACGTTATGTGCTAAAAACAATAGCACCGCCGTTAGCCACATCGGCTAACATTAGCAGCTATTCACGCGGCGAAGCTTTTTCAGCGTTGCATTCTAAAACTGCTCGTTAAATTGCCGACTCACCCAGTTCAACAAACACTATCTGTCCATGTTTCGGCTTCGCTTTGACGACAACGAGCGAGTTTGGTACAGAAGAGATCCTTCAATTTGCCTCCTCACAGCTAAAAAAAAAAACTGAACGAGGTTATTTTTCAGTACTTCCGCTTTGTTTACGTCTATTTCCGGTGGCAACACCTCGCCTCCACTTCGCCACCTGCCGAGTTCTCCTGGGAACTACATAAACAACAAATTTAATTAATTAGTTTCTCTTCTGTGCGCTGTGGTCCTGTTTTGTTTTTTGTTTTGTTTTTGTGTGTAAAGCGTCTCTGAGTTTCTTAAAAAGCCTTATATAAAACATATGTATTATTATTTTACTATTAATGCGCTTCAATCGACCTCACAACAACTTAGAGTCGCTATGAATATGCGCCAGCAAATTTTTTAAAAATTTATTTCAATAAAAAATTGAAATAAAAATAAACAACGATACAAAAGCACACACATTTCAATCAATACACAATAGACACACACAAGTTCAGCACTACTACACTGTGGTCTTATCGGGAACAATTAGAGTTAATGACTTAAAATTTATAGACCTGTAATTATTTTATGGCCTTATTTGGAATGAAATATCATAAAGAGTCAGGTGTCGACACATTTAGCATCTCAAGTTCCTTTCAAGGCACCCTCAGGGATGTTTATACCCCAAAAATAAAATTAAAATTAAAATTAAAAAAAATAAAATAAAAAAAAAGCCTGAATAATTAAAAATGAATATTGTAAGTAGGGCAGAACCTCTGTATACTTAATCTGTTTTTTTCTACACTATTTTTATTTACTAATATATTAATTTCACCAGTGTTGTAGGTACTTTCTAATTTTAAAGGAGGGATAAAAAAATAAAAAATAAATAAAAATCTAAGATGACCCAAGCGTTTTAAGCCAGCGCGTCTCCAGACCCTGACAGAGAACGCATCACTTTCGATCCATGCTTCTGTTCGGCTCTGTTTAACAGCAAACCACTTAAAGGTCAAGGCAAATGAAGCCTAAAATGTTTGCTTGTTCGGTATTACATATCACGCCGGGGAAGAGCGAAGTTCTACGGAAACATGTCACGACTGCTTTCAAACTCCCTTGAACTTGCTCAGGAAACCACCGACCTCAACAACAAGTTCAGACTGAAAACATGGCAGCGCCCACTTCCCCCAGACACACATGACGCGCACTGCGGCTGGAGTCGGTTATTGGGTCAGCTGTCACTATTTCTTTCGTTTACTCTTCACGTTAATAATACTTAAACGCTCGTCAGCAAAAAAATGAATGCACATATAAGAAGAGCTTATTGAGCAAAAGATATTTTTGGCTCTAAAATGAAATCAATAGGAGTATCACTTTTTTATGCTTTCGGGGTTTCAGATTGTTTTGAACACTCCTCCTGAAAAAAATAAAGAGCAAAGCCACACCTACATTCGGTTATGAATAAATACTGAGCAAACTTTCATTTCAGATTAGAAGCTGCGTAGGATCTCACGAAGTCTTTTTTATTTTCCTGACATTTAAAGCCTTTTTTTTTCTCACCACAGTCATGACAACACTTCTAGTTGTTGCAGTGGTCGCCTTGATTCATGGCAGTTATGGTAAATATGTTTTCTCATCTACTGTTATACACTAGTCTCAAATAGATTCATTTTATTTGCTGATCTGTGATGAAATATTGGTTTAATCTCTATGTCTGGATTTCTGGAGCTGGTCTTTTTTTTTTTTTTTTTGCACAAATATGTATTCATACTGTTGCTGCTCTTGGGCTTTGTGTGGTTTCTGCTCGTCTGTGTGTCTCTGAGTTGATCTGTTCTCTTGAGGAAACGCTTTGTTTTGTCTTCTGTCACACTGATGGGTTTTCCCTGGTGGTTACAAGACGCAGACTAAAAAACAGGAAATGTTGGTGGAATAATCGAGAGACCGACAATAAGAGCATTTACATATTTTATGCATTGGCCGCTGTATGTCAAGGCCAATCTCATGTTCAGTTCTTATCTGTAAACAACTGTGTCGCACTGTAATTCTTGCCTGAAGTCAAATACAAACCGCTTCTGTTCTCACAAGTGTCAACAGGTTCGTCTACTTTAGAAGTGGATGAACCTGTTGCTGCCCGTGTGCTCATGGTGGTGGCTTTGAGAGTGTTGGCACTATCACCTGAAGCCCGAAAGAAATGTCAGGGAAACGGAGAGGTTGTTTTGAAAGCGTCGCACAGAGCAGCAGCTACATCCCCCAGTGCAACTCAACGCTGGGTCCCCGGTTCATTCATGCTGTGATCAATAACATGCATCTGTAATCTCTGTCCACACGCAGCAACTTTGCTCATTAAAGGGCCAACAAAGCCAGTTCTGGAGGGAGACTCAGTCACACTGGAGTGTCAGTACTCTGACTCTGACCGCAACGTCAGCCAAGTCCGCATTGAGGTCTTCCACAGGGTAAGCCATGGGAACAAATGAGAGGAAAGCAGTGGTGCATTTTAAAAGTGCAGAACCCCCTTGCCATTTTTAGACCTGGCTCAAAGTGTTTTATTGTTATCGTTTGAGCTATTGCAAGACTGTAAAGTTGTTCCTGCTGATTTAAGAACTTGGGGGAAAAAAATGTTGATTTAGGTGTGATGTTTATACAGTCTGACGCTGTTCATATGCCGGGATAGTGAACAATGGCACAATATTTATAGCCTGACCTAATTTGCAATACCTGCACCTAGGCGGGCAGTAAACTGCTCTCTGTCAACATCATGTCAAGCAGCTGACATTGTTATAAAACTCCCCAACAGCGGGGAATTTTACGAAATTATACAACATAAAATGTAATCCATTAAAATGTTCCTCACTGGACTGTTGGATTTTCCCTGAATTGAATGTTTAGCTTAATTGTTCTAGAAGTATATGTTCAAATAACTGCCATCCTCAACAAATAAACAAGTATAAATTCAAGGTCAAACATTTTACCTATTTTATTTTCTATAATCTTGTATGTTAAAGTCACTATTAGCTGAATTTCATGTAATTAGAGTGGAAGAGGAAGCAAGGCAATTTATTAACCTTCTGTAAGGTCACAGAGCTGTTCTACTGTTACAGGAATTTGCAGTCATACATTTCTATTTTTGGAACGCAAATCCAAAAGTAAATAATTCTCTCTCTCTCTCTCTCTCTCTCTGTGTCCATCTCTCTCTTCCTTTATTATTTTTTCTTTCTCTTCCCCAGTACGCGCAGATTTGGCGTCGTGCAGGTTGGGGGAGATCTTGGTGCTTTTCTGCTGGGCATTCCGACCTGAACGAGCTGATCGAGGGCAGCCCCGTCCTGTTTATTCCCCATGTAGGAAGGTACAATGAGGGGCCCTACCGCTGCGTTTCAGACGCCGACAATGTGACCGAGCCAGACAACTCCTCCCAGCCGCTGACCTTCAAAGTGCATTGTGAGTGCCCGGGTTGATGTGGGTGGGAGTTGTGAAGGAGCTGTCTGCTGAAAGTCTGTGGAACAACGACTCTGTGACACTATGTTTTCCTTTTTTGACAAATATAACCCTTAGATTGTCATGCTGTGCGTATCCTGCAGGAGTCAAACATCTGCAAAAATCTCACAAGAAGCTAGAAAAACATGTGAATAAAGTCGTGTTTCTTGGTTTTAATTTCAAAAAGGAAACATGTGGTATATCTGAGAATGCTGATATTAGTCACAAAAAGTACGCATGGAAACACCTACGTTGGTCGAGGTAAGAAAACTAAACAGAGAGCCTGTTCTCTGACTGTGCTGTGGAGGGTAAACACACACACTAAAAGAAGAGATCTGATGCAAATGCTGTTTCCCAATGATAGGTTGACTACGTTCATTTTTTATTTTTTCTCTCTGCGCTCCAAGCAAACAAAGATATTCCCCTGGTGAGTTTTTCAGCTGTCAGTGTAGGATACACAGCCTCATGAAACATCATCCATGGCATAGCCAGTCAGATTTTCAGTGTCCTCTATCTTCTCAGTGGCCATCAAATCGACCGAAATGCTGTTTGATAGGCTCACCCTGCCTCATGGGGGAATCAATAAGACGAACAGATTAGAATGGACTATAGGACTGAAGGAGACAGAGGGGGAGAGAAGCCAGGAGCTGGATGGACGTGAGCCATCTATTGAGATGGAAGAGAAAATGAGCCATTATTCACAACATTGCCTCTCTAAAGACTTCGATAAGATGAAGCCTATTATCATTATTATTGATTGCTTGGTACAGTCTGTACCACTGGGAGGCATTCATACGTAAGCCCGTGTACTCAAAGAGACTTAAAAACTCGGACTGTTTAACAGCTGCTGCCGCTGCAAACATATGTTCGCTCCTGTCCCAAACTCTTGAAGAGGTTGCATAATAAATGTCTTTCATCATTAACATTCGATCGTGCTTTCTCCTTCTCGTTGTAGACATGAGCGAGCCGGCGCTTTCCAGGAACGGCTACACCAGCTACCTGAGCGTCCCGCAGAACCTGAAGGTGCGACTCGGAGATGACGTGGTGGTGAAGTGCTCTGCCAGTTCGTCAGAAGAGCCGAGCTTCTCCTGGCTCAAAGAGGTGAGAAGGCATCCGGATGGTGCACAGCGACGACGTCCTCATTATGCTTTTTTGGAAACTTCCTGCTCTCCGCCGTCTCTCGGCGTGACCTCTTTATTTATTTTTTCCTGTCTTCCTCCAGTCTGACCGGGTCTCTATTGGCCTCTCGGCTTTGTTCAAGCATTCTCTTAATTTTCTCTCCTCCTTTAGCACATTTCTCTTTCTCTCCTCGACTTTCTCAAGCCACTTGTTTCCCCTCGCCTGTCGTCTTTTCATCCCCTCCACAAAAGAAGTGCTCCGTATTTAAGTGACCGGTTGGCTTAGGCACACCACTCGCTGGGGATTGCAGCTTGCCCACTTACAGAGGATTAATAGTTTAATGAGGTCTAGACAAGAGCCAGTCAACCTGAAAACAATTATGTGGATAGATTTCTAATGATTTTTTTAGTGTTTGGTTAACCGGCATTGAATTATTCAACTGGGCTCTTCAGTGAGCTAAGAAACCCTTGCCCTAGGGAAATTAAGATGCCTCAGTGCAAAATGCCATAGTGACAACTGGCATGTAGAACAGGAAGAAGTTGATGAGTCTGGAGATACACTGTGCCCTTGTGGTGACAGAGTGGTACTACGCTTTCAAGGTGTTGTCAAAATCACTTTCGCTTCTACCAGCAGGTAATGAAGCTGTGAAACTGTTACGATATCTTGGTAACAGGCAGATGTACTTGCCGAGTTTCCCCTTTTGTTATGCCGCTCGATAAATTGGCTCGGGGTTAATATGCTTGTTAAAGGGTCACCGCTAATCCGGGTTTTAAATGGGCTTACAAGTCCAAATCCAATTCTGTGGACATTTTACGCCGCTAATGCTGTTTGTCCTCCACATGATCATATGTAGCGCTTTAGGTTTTTGTCATCATTCGTTGAATATACAGACGAAGACTTAGGATTCACACGTTCAAACTCACAAAACCTCTGGGGGAAAAAAGAATGGCACATTCAAGGAAAAGATAAAATATGATGAAGCGTGTCTCCCTGTTTGATAAGCGTGTGTGTGTCTGTTTTCCTATCTGTGTGCGTAAACATGCTGTATGTATGACAGGAATGGATATGGGGCAGAAAGTGGCATCAAAATGGCCCTATTTGACAGACAGCCGCCGTGGGCACATTGGCCCCCGGTAATGACAGCAGGACAGAGGCAGAAACGGGCCACTGCTTTGGGAGCCAGTGGATTTGCATACAAAATGCTGCTTTGGCCAGACCTGGCCTTTATGGGAAATCCTCTTAATTCAGATCCATTCAAATTGAAATGGACTTTCTTGGCAGGAGCTGCAGCTCCCAGGAGCCAAATCATTTGCATGGTGTAATTTTTTTTTTTTTTTTTTTACCCCCCCTCCTCCACGTTCGTTTGTTTTCCAATCCTTGTGTTTGGCCTATTATTTGTTTCCTCCCATGTTGGGCTCTATCTCATAATAGTGCTGCTATTTCTGTGTCAACAATTCATCCTGCTCCCTTGCCATCTCATTATGTGTTGTGTTAACAGTGTGTTGTTGCGGCATCATTCTTTGCGGATGATGCTGTTATCTGGGTTATTGACTTGTGTCGATGTGTGTTCATTCACTGGGATTACTGCTCAGGTAAATACACTTCATTTGGGACTTTCGGGACTGCTCTCTAAGGGCCACACACCAGCAGATATTTATGTCTTTCTTACTCTCTGTCCCTCCACCGGTTTCTCTGTGTCTCCCTATCTTGTTCTACTTCACTTTTTCTCATTGTCCCTCCTACCACAAATCAGCCAAAATAACACTTTCTGCTGCATTTTTGTCTCTTTCTCTCTTATCTTCCTACACTGTCTGTGTTAGATAGACTCTAGCTCTGAACGAGAGGGGTTTTTTTTTCTCTCCCTGCCTTTCATTTTTGTCAGCTAGCATCGTCTGTTCTCAATCTCTCTTGTACTCTCAGCTAAGCACACTTTTAATTCATATGAATTTGTCAATTCTCACAGGGCTCGGAACAATCTGTCCACCAAAAGCATGTCTTCAAGCTTTTTTCTTTCCATTTTTTTTTTTTACTTGTTTACACTCTGTTGTATGTCTTTTCCTCTCAGGGTAGCGACTGGATCCTGCCTTCGTCTACGCTGACACTGAAGAAAGTGAGTGCGTCTGATGAAGGACAGTACACTTGCATGGCTGAGCATCCTTCTGTGGAGTCCCTCAGCAAGAAACGCACCATCAGCATCACCGTCCTGCCTGGTAAGAAAACGATTTCAGATCTACCTGGACCAGACCTGTTGTCCTTTATAAGTCTCGAGGGGTTGTATTACACTTCCTCTTTCTCAGAACTAGTTTGAGATTTCTTTGCAACTGCAGGGAAATTCTCCCGTCAACATCCCTTAAGCAAAAACAAAAGGTGCTTCAGTTCTATTTCTTCCTTTGCTAACCACTCAAATGTCATCAGGTTAGATACTTCAATGCTTTTACGTCATCGGGAGCATATGCAGAAGTTACTAGTTAGAAGTGGGAAACCTTTAATGCCCTGCTTTCAAAGAACTAGTTCAGACTTGAGGTGTAGTAGTTGGCTGTAGAAATGACAGAAAAGTAGGAAACACAATGTGATGCTTCAACACAGAGACACATTTATTAAAACACGTCATGGGAAGGAAAAAAAAAAGAGAAGGTGACTATGCCCTAAATTAAATTACCTCTAAAATGTCAAGCATGCAAGGTGATCATACCAGAGGACACACCACATTTTAAATATCATAAATAAATGACAAAGTTGAACGGCCCTAACTTTAAAGGATAATTTGAAGCTATAAAATAAAGCAACTGACCCTTGATTTCCTTTTTCTTCCGGCAGAAACAACAGTTCAAACATAAGGGCACTCTAGTGAAGAGACCCTGAAAATGAAAAATATTCATGAGCCATTAGAACGTACAATTTATGGGGAAATGCCTTTGTTGTTTTCATTTATTTCTTCCCAGTGTTAATTGTTTACACCCCTTGGTCTTTCTATCATTATCCAAAGAAATATATAATAATAAGTGGACACTCTGCGACAGAAGACCAGCTTTTACAAATGAATGTCTCGGGGGGGGACAGTTAGTCTTTTTCAGAATTCGTACGTCTGACAAATTGTCTTATTTCTCACGAAACATGATCGTTTTTTTTTTTTTTTTTTCAAGCTAAGGGAATAATTTCATTACAATAAAGCTAATGCAATTCACAGCACTTCATCTGTCTTCATCATCTCTATCAGTGACCTGTGAGATGATTACACATTGTTAATGCACTGCAGTTCTTAAACACTGCTCTCTCATCCAGAAGGATTCATGAGCCTGGTGATTTCAATAGTTGGAATTATGCAACCTATAAAAATGCAATCAAGCCAGCACATGGTATTTATAATGGTATAGTTATCCTATTACTGCTACAATAGACTAATTGGTCACTTGCTCCTCCGTATCGCTTTCATCTCGTCTGAAGCACATGTACTAATTAACGATCATTTCTATGTACTGGACTAATGTCTGCTTATCCTTGGAAGTTAGGATGAGGAAACACTGCATGCAGCTGCTGTTGCTATGCAGCTGCACTACAATACAAACACCCAAGCAAAGATTCTCATAGTTAACCTGTGTGACTCCAGCTGCTAAGAAATCCACTTAACATAAGAAAGTACTGTATATATGAATAGTATTTGCTGCCTCAAATTCTCAAAACTTTTTTTTTTTCAATGTTTACTGTGATCACAGTTCTGAAGACCAGGTTCGCAAAATTCACTTTCAAACGCTGAAAATTCATGCACCCGAAGGAGATAATCAGCCAGTTTTTGAAAATTGTATCCGGCAGACTTCTTGAAGATCAGCACTGTGTATGGGACTGTGACTGTCTGAACTCCAGACAGACATACTTTTCTTCCACAAATGAGACTGCTTTTAGAAGATTTGCCTGGAGGCGGGAAGCTCATAGTTTTGCTGATTTCAGATTCCTTATGATGCATGTTTCTCTTCATGTCTGTCTGATCCGTCCTACAGAGGACGCCCCCTGGTATGAGTCCAGTAATGGCCGTCTCATCTTGATGACCTCGTCAGCGGCAGCAACTCTCGTGGTGTTCATCCTGTCCATGACTGTGTTCCTGTGCCGCAGGGCCAAGCAGGCCAAGACCAGCAAGGGGCCCATGTAAGAAATTACTTTTTGATTGTTTTCGTCTAGTCATCTTTCATAATCACTTTGCTTAACATGCAATCTCCATTTAAAGCCATGTTCTGAGTCCGATGTGTTTAAATGCAAGTGAATGTGTGTGTTTGTTTATCCACATTCACTTTCCTATTTTCCCTAACCCATTCCCCTTCTCTCCTCCTGCAGTTTGACTTTATTGCCCAGATTTGGCCATTGCAACAATATTTCATTCTGTCTCATGTGATAGAACCAAGGCCATTTCAGTTACAGTGTGTGTGTTTTAGTGTGTGTGCCACTGTGCACCTTGGTGCGTACTTCACTGTAGGAGCGTTCTTGCAAAAAAAAAAATCTTTCCGCATGAGCACACTGGCGCCTGTGCTTGAAAAGGCATTATCCACACTGAATATTAAATCCTATCTCAGCAGGTCTGACCTACTTGACCTCATCCTTGATCTCTTCCATGCTCCCGTTTCCTCACCCATGTGTTTCCATACACGTCCTGCTTATAAAAAGCTTTAGTTAATAGCAGCAAGTGTAATTGTATTCATCGTATTTAAAGTATAAAACCAGCTCTGGCAATGATGAGGAAATTAGTGGAACTTCCATTAATCCTATAAGATGACAACATGTTAATGTGCACCATGACCTCATGCAGCTTCGCCCATTAACTACTTTTCCATATCGAGTTTTCAAAAGACAGAAAGAGCCTGCTTCATAAAGGCATTCTGTGTATTCGTGATGACGCTAAAGAAAAAAAAAAAGCCTTACTCTTACAAATGTGTGCTGCAATAAGTGTTCAAATGTGTGTGTACAACAAGATACAGATAGCAAAAGAGTGGGTAATGGAGTTTCATATCAATGGCCAGGTATAGCTCCAGCACTCGGTTCTAGTCTATAATTTCCCCACTTATATTTTTTGAGCGCCTGCCTCGAGATCGATATACTGATAATCATGCTCCTCTGTCTTTCTCTTCCCTTCTCTCTCCAGTGATGACCGGTCTCAGAAAAAGCCCATCTACAAAGCAAGTGTTGAGTCCCTACCCTCCATAAGCGGAGACAAACAACCTCTGGTGTGACTACACAGACAGGTGGAAGGATGAGAATGGGGGGAAGGATGGAGTGAAAAATGAGGAAGATGGAGTGGGTGGCCAGAAAATGAATGATGGCATAAAGGAGATGCACAAAGAGGGACACTGTGGGAGGAGAGAGGGAGGAAAGGAGGGAGGCAAATAGGGATATTGGTAAACTGGGAGGAGAGCAAAATCAAAATCGGTAACAAGCTGGGTGTATAAACACAGTGAAGGGCAAATGATTTCTTTACAGATGCCAAAGCAGCTTTTGCTTGCGGGTGTAGGCTGCAGTTTTGCGTCTTGGACAGTGAGGTGGGCAATTTTCTTTTCATTTATTCTGAAGCACGAAAAATGGGGAGCTACGTTCTTATCAAAATGATGATGAAGATTTTTGTATATTTGTACGAGTTGAAAAGACTCCACATGCAATTCTCTCCTTTCACTTGCAAACATAATTGCTCAGCTGTTTATTATGAATGAAACATTTTGGTGATAGGCCGAGGTTTTATTTTGTTGATTTGTTTCCCTTTCAGCCTTTTTTTCTCCCCCAAATCAGAACCGGCTCAAAGCAGCTTTGAGAGCGCTACTATAATATCTTTACTGTGACAGCTCTCGAGCACATTGCACTCTCATATTTAATTTACTGTACTTTGGATATCTGAGATATTAAATGGCTTTTACAAAAAAAAAAAAAAAACGTTATTTACTGTCTTCCAGTGTGCCATTGATTTTGTTTCCTTTTAGAGATACAAAAGAGGTTGGGGAGTATTGACAACCTCGTGAAAGCCGGACATGCATGTTCGCTTGGCCGCTCATCTTCTCGATCCAATGCCATCTTGGGCTTGCATCAGCTTGTTTACCAACCTTCCTCTTCAGTCTGAAAGACCTTACTCTGAAGCAATGACCTTTACTCAGAGCACTGTGCCGGTGCATTCTTGTCTCTTCCTCCATCTACCTGTAAGCACCCAGACTCAGTCAGTTTGGATACACATGCATGGAGATGTATTCACATATAAAGACTCTCACAGTGAGAATAATTGCAAAGTCAGGTAACCTTGAAACTTTGTGCACTCATAATAAGAGCAGGCATAGTTTGCCACTGCTGGTTTCTCTTTAACAGGGCTAGATTTAGTCGATTCTGATCCCCCCCCCAACAAAAAAAAACAAAAAAAAAAAAAACAACCATCATCGACTACAACTTCATCTTTTTAATTTTCTCCTCTGTTGCCTTGTAACCCTTAATGCTGTGCCGCACCACCATCGCTTATTACCATAACTGTGCTCATAATACTGAGAATTTCATTACGCTTGTCTGTTGAAGTTATGTTGGGTTTTATGTGGTTTTATTATCAGTGTGTGGTTGACCGTGGGCAGTTGTTAATAATGGGCGAAGCGGCAGTTTAACAATGACATTAACGGGTGCATGCGCCACAGAGCACAGCCAGGATAATGTTATTAAACTGATTATTCAAACCTCCTGTACAGCTCGGGTTGTGCCGCAGCCATCCTCTGTTGAGTATTTTACAGACCCTTTGTATTTTCTTTTCCAACTCTACAAACTTCTCCTTACTTTACGCCTTAGGTCAAGCTGAGAAATATAGAAACAACAGGTAGAGAGACTGTAAGCAAAACAGAAAGAGTGAGTTTTTAAAAAATTGTCACGCTCCATTGAAAGGAAAAGAAAAAAAAACACAACAATGTTGTAAATTTAAAATGCCCTCCTGCATGCTAAATGCCAGCGAGCACCATTTTGTTTTGGCCTTTGAGTCAGTCATGAGTGAAACACAGCGTGCTCCCTAGTGGGCTCTGGTCCTGGGGCTTCAGCTGGTTGGCCAGAAAAGACAAGATTATGTATCAGAAATTTCACACAGTGGAGCCGTCCCTGAGGTACAGAGCTCTGGTTGGGAGGGAGACAAGTGTAGTTTACAGTGACATTTTGACCTTGATACTGCCTCATGGATAAACCACTGGACAACAGCTTAGGGTGATGCAGAGGCTGTGCATTGCATACAGAGCAGCCAAAAATGGTTTGTAGAAAGGATTCTAACAATAGTAGATGTGCAGCAATAAAGTCAGGCAGCTCTTTACTAATGCCAGCAGTTAATCTGGCTTACAAACTTCACGGTGGCCTTCAGTGCAGCACATGCAAAGGTGAGTTATACCAAACATGGCACCTCACTGACTAACGCGTTGTCGCGCCAGGCATTTGTAACTGCATGTCATTGCCTACTGCTGTTCTCGTCACGGTCACTTGGTTTTGTATGTGCATACTGCATATGTTGTGTCAAATGGCTGAAAATGAAGGAGTGGAGTTCGCTGGAGAAGCAGGTGTTTTCCCCTCATTACTTCCTGACAATGCCCCATCTGGTGCGAGAGAGCTGCTGCCACCGACTCCCTGCCAACCCGGGAACAAACACTCGCAGAGAGGCTTGACAGGGAAAAATGGGAAAGGATGGGAATTGGGGGAAGGGGGGAAACGAGTGGGGCAGATTTTTATCCTCGCCAAAACAACAAGGTTAAAACTTGTGTCGAGCAGTAACGTCACCGAGTTGGAGAGGGCCCGGAGCTGGCACTTTAAGATCTCACGCAGATCCATCAGCGGAGGTCAGATAAGAAGTGAAAGTTCAAAGCAAGTTTTATGGAAGTCAAGGCTACAAACATTAATATTAATATTAATAGACTGCTTTGATGCTTTACTGCCTGTTTGAACTTTTCAGATTGTTTGAACTAAACTGACCAAAATGTCTGGAGGATTTGTGATAGATGAGAGAAAGGCCAAAGCAGATATGAGACCCATGACGTGCCATCTCTAATGTGACCTGAAGGGGGCGCCAAAGATACAGTTTCCAAAAGATGCCTTCGAGCCTTGAAGGCTATAAGTCCATGGTAAAACACTAGATTAGGGAGGAAAAAAGAGATGTGGAAAGAGAAACAATTTTCATAATGGAGCAGCGCTCTCTGACTGGAAAACACAATTATGGGCAAACTGTGGCCACAGCATGAGGGTAAAGTTAAAGAGCCCCTTTAGCAGGATCTAATAGCCCCTGACTACAGATGAGCAGAAACACTGGCTCGTCCGTGGCACAAGTTTTTGTTCCGGGCCATTACCGTCATTGTGAAAGGCGATTTAACGGAATACACCCAGGTCTGTTCCGTGCTCTCCTTGATGAGTTCTGTGCACATTTGGAGACAAAGCAGCTCCTGCAACTGAATTTAATCTCTAAACACCCAGAGGCTGCTGCATAAACTTATTTGGCAATGAGTTTCCTCTCGTTTTCATCACCAAATTGGCAAAAAAGTAATTAAAAAAAAACAACAACAACAACAGCATGCAACAGAAAGTACCTCCAGTTGGCCACACAGGTGAACTCACCTGACGCGTCCCGGGATGGCACACATGACACTTGCTGCTTAATCTGCATAATCTGTCACAATACAATTAATTATCGCAGCATTGTTTGTCTCTCATTTCAAACAATAAAAATCTGTTTCGTTTTCGTCATTTTAATCATTGTTACCCACATCCTTTTCAGTCCTCGGGGCGGAATTTTAAATGAATTGCTTATTTGCGTCGGAAAATTAATGTTGGTTATCAATCACATTTAGAGCGAATTGATTTCAATTAACTGGAAGATGCAGCCCCTTCTTCCCTCCCCAGTTCGTCTTCTTCTTCTTCGTCTGTAGCCCATTTCTTTTTAAAAAGCCCAACCCCTCGTTCTCATCCGCACACCCCTCCACCTGCTCCCTGCGCTCTGCAATTGGTCAGGGAAGACGCACGGACCCGCCCCATTGGCAAGCTTTTAAAATATATTTACAATGTAAAGTAACCAAGAAAAACCGGCCAAGCCATCATATTCAGGCATTCGGCGGGAGAGAGAAAGTGGGTGTGTGTGTGTGTGTGAGAGAGAGAGGCAGCATTACTATGTAAAGAGCTGCTGTTACGCTCCGAGCGCTTTGATAAAACACTCACCAGTCGTGCGCGCACAGTCGGACACGCTCACGCACAAACACACACACACATACAGACCAAACAGAGACGCTGAAGGCGCAATCGGAGAGTGAACCTGCGGGTTCATGTCACTCTGATTTCTCCGAGGAAGAGGAATACTTCAGGAAGAGATTTAGAGGGGGAATATCAGCGATGGCTTTCGCGACCGTGTGGAACTACTGCGTCCCTCTCACCATCATCACAGTCGCCTGCCTGGTGAACACTGGTAAGGCTCAAACGAAGAGAGAGTGTGAGTGAGTGTGATGTGAATGGGAAGAAGTGCGAACCCGCTGCGATGTGACTGAGGGGGGGTGCTTTTCCGTGCAAGTTTTGCCATCCGATGAGAACTAAGAGGCTGTATAGCGCTAATGAATGCACCTTGCCCATTGTGACTTATCAGTCAAGCAGGAGGAGGAGGAGGAAGAGGAGGAGGAGCGCACGTCGGCATAAAAAACACGTGCACACAATCCCGTTTCCAAATAATTTTTTGCGCACCATTGTTAATGTCCTCCCTCCGTTGGGTAATTAGAATCAAAGCTCTTTGCGCAAGCCTGGTGCTGTGTTGCTACTTGGGTATGACTCATTGTGTTGTCCACTTTCCGGAGAATTGTTAAGCTCGAAAAATCCCCTAGAACACCTCAAGATGAAAACAAAAGTAAAAGCTGCAGGCTCGTCGCCACTTTTTGCAGCCTCTTAGTTGAAAGATGTTGGGGAAAGATTGCATGCATCGTTGACCCTCGTGCGTCACGGCGTTCACACGGATTGGGATATATGATATCATAGGCGCTGCGCGCGTGTGTGTGTGTGTGACAGGATGCCAGCCCATGCATGTACAGTCATGCACGCAGAGGACTTTTGAGAGCGCATCCTGACAGCCACATGAGATCTCATAACAAATGCCCGCAATGGAGCAGACGCGTGTCACACACTCAGAGCCAGCACTTGTGTTCCTTACTGCTTTTTATATTCTGCAGTAGAGGGAGGTGCTGAAAAGACCTTTGAGACCTCACCTTATCAGATACAATAAGACCTAGCAATCTATTACAAAGCCTAGTAATGGCACCTGATTGTGCCTTTTTGTTGCTTTTAGTCTCGCAGCTGGAACACCTCAGTTTACAGGCCTGCCTTGCTTCCTTTATATACACAATATGGTCAAGTCACTACCCTCTAACAAGTGCAGCTGCTGCAAAATAGGCATTTGGACTTCATCATGACTCTGAGCAACTTCAATCTGATATTCTGAGCCATCTGCTTGGATGCGAATTGAAAAATAAACGCAGAAGAACCCTTGTTAAATTTCACTCAAGGCATGACTGATTGTGACTGAGCGGGAATGATAAGTCCATGCAGATGCTGCTCTCCCTGCTTTGTGCCTTGCCGTTCCTGTGCTCTGTGGGTCTTTTGTTTACGTTGTCCCGAGGCAGGGAAAGGGTTAAAAGCTAGGTCGGGCATTGTCACAGTCAGGCTGTGCGGTTGTGATGATGCCTCTTGTATATAAGGGAGCACCGTATTGCTCCGTAGACATTCTCCTGGCCGCACTTATACCAGCCTCACCGTGGCCTGTCTATTGATTTCTTCTCCGGACTGTGTTTGTGTGTGTGTATCTGTTTGTGCATCTGGTTCAGGAACAGTGGATGGGTGATTTGTATGCATGAGCTGTAGGTGTTTGTATGTTAGTCGAACAGGAGTCCTGTGTAAGAGGCTTGTGTGTGTG